AGAGGTGGGATCTACGGATGGGGGCACAAGGCCAAAGGGAAACGGGTAGTAGCTACAAGAGATAGCTGAGGATCCGAGGATACAACGATCACAGTCATATCGTCTGCTCGACGTCTTCTTGTGCTCTTCTGCTGCAAAGAGATCTCTCCTGAGGGATCAAGATGAGCTTTGGCTGGTAGTTAACCTTCGCCACCATACTATACTGTTTTGAGCTCTGCAAGAGGCTACTTCTACGCTCCTGGTGCGGGACCTTCGCTGGGGTGTTTTTCGTCCGCTACTAACCACGGACGATTGTAGTGGATTGTGTCTGAGTGGCTAAGAAGCAATCCGCAAATCTTCCTCTGACGACGTTGTCTCGTCTATACCAGGAAATCGCAAATGGCGTATTTGTGGTATCAGGTATTCGTCGATGGGTTTCAGTCATTATTATGACCGTATCTACAGACGTAATCGTAGACATGCGGAAGGTTATATAAAACCTATATTTATAATAATGCCGGTGTAGATCGAGCATGCACAGGAGCAGGGACACGCCTACCTTATGTCGCTATAATATGTTGATGTCATCGCACGTCGGACCATCCGCTACCCGCTGCGATATCGAAACTTGGTTATAGTAATGATTGTCGTTACGTAAAGAAACAGCCATTTGAAATCCGGGTTTGAAAAACAAATGGACGCCATTCGTGTAAACGGGGAATTACAACTGTTTTAGGGGTCAGTGGGTGGCCGACACCTTAATTACGGCTGTTGATATTGTGGCGGACGAACACCAAGCGAAGGTACGAATCCGTCGACTGGAAATGTGTCGAAAACGCTTAACGCCTCCGGCTTGCAATGATTTCAGCAGCAAGCTTACGCTTATCGCGTTTCTTAGCACCGCTTAACCTCGATGACAAGGTCTAGGAGCCTTTGTTACTAGTATTTTAATAGCAACATGTACTGATTCTATCACCTAATCAGAACGCTTCTGTTATTGTATGACTGTGTGATTGAAAGTATTGCATACGTTTGGTAAACGCGCATATTCAGAGTTGGAGAGCTTCAGAGTTATTGTTTACTTTATTGAACGTCGTGAATATTTGTCCCTTTTGCTTCGGAGATGACTTTGATTTTGGATCGTTCGATTTTTTACACATTGTATTTTCTTCATACGCGAAGCGACCTCTTAGGTAGGACGATAAACCTATACCAACTTCTCCATGCGTCCATCAGCTGTTGCTACAATCAAATAAAGAACTATACATATAAGTTTCAGATATTCTGGTGACAAACGTTAGCATTGACGACATATTATCAACAATAGGTAGCGTAGCTCGTAAACTGATGTACATGCATGCGTGTTCATCTATGACTACACAATTTTTGCTGTTTCTGGCCTGACCAGTGTTTCCTGATAGGACATATTTTTTCTACTAGAAGCTTGCACTATATTCATAGAATAAACGGAGGTAGGCGGTAGTATAGATAGAATTCTATGGGTCGACATTGATATAAATCGCGATCAAAATTCTGACTGTCTCCAGTTCTCTTTTATATCCATTTTGTTATGGTAATAATGTTCAGTTGGTAATATTTTATAGGTATTATATCTTATAAAGACTCACAGTGTAATGAGCTTTGTTTTATGAAATAAAATATACGATATAAATCAAAATTTCTTCTAGGGAGTGTAATCCTGTGTTCGAAAGTATAACTAGTCTCATAACGGTCGCGTATGGCGCCAACTCAGGCCAAACCTCGACTAGAAACATATGGCAGCAATCGAGTAACTGCAATACGCCCGAGTCCATTAATCGGGAAATCACACCTTCTTAGCTAATAATCGTCTTCTTTGTCTCAAAACAAGTCCATTGCTCGGTCGTAACCAAACTTAAAATTCCCAAAAAAAATAGTTTTTTTTTTAATTAATTTATCTAATTTGACCGATCGCCGATTTTGTCGTCACCGGACTTGCAGCCACAACCAAAAATTCTCTATCCAAAATTCCGTGCTACCTTCGTTGAGTTGGCTGATGTCCTCCGACACCACCCGAGCCTTGTCTAAGCCTACCCAGCCTACCGTGTCTTCTTGCACCACGTCACTGTGTTGTCGTTGTATCTTTCACAGCGTCTTGCAGCTGCAGAAGGAGCTTCTTACTTGGTTTGGATCTCTGTCGACCTAGCCTCTCTGTCCCTAGCGTTCTCCATATAGTTACTCAAACCTCCTCCTTCAGCGCCCAGTTCTGCGGTTCCTTCTTACCCCCGATCCACTCTGCGAGAACCCCCCACAGATCCCCGCCGACGCACCGCCACCAAATTTCCTTCCCTTATTCCTTCTTTTCTGTTTTAGTATCCCTTGGCGTACCCCATTTAGTAGTATCCTCTGCCCCTTCCCCCGTCTAGTTCACTTGTGGGCTCTTGGATGAGTACAGCAGAATCTGCTGCAGCCTATAGCAGCCCTCCTTCAGCAGGCATCGTCCGCCGCCAGCGGTCCGCAGGCTCAGCTCTTGGGCCGACCATCCGGCTGCGGAAGCAAGTAAGCGAACGCGGCTGGGCAGCAGAGCCCAGTGGGCCCAGGTTTGTTGGGCGGAGCAAAGCGTTTCGTCGGGGGGCGGAGCCGACGACAGCTTACAGCCGTTGCTGTTGCAGTAGCTGCTGCCGCCGCCGTCGCCAGCACCTCTATCATGGCGGACAAATCGATTGTGTGTTAGCCGGATGAACGGTGCTGTGGCAGCCGCCGTCGGCGCCGCCACCGAACAAGAAGGAGGCGGAGGAAGGGAGAAACGCGCGCGCACGAGGGAGAGAAGCCGAGGGGAAGAAAAAACGCGAGAAGGAGAGCCTAGCTGGCCAGAGTCTGCCTCGCCTGCCTGCCTGCCTGCTCGCCCGCTGACTGCTGCCTCCCGCTTCTGTTGACCAGCAAGAAAGCAAGCTATTCTTGTGTTATTGTAACGTAGTGTAGTCAACTCGGCTAGATTCGCTGCCGTTTGCGGCGGCAGCCGTGATGCTGACACTTTACGTTGTGCAAAACAAGCCTCGCTGAGCTCTGGAATCGACTATGCCCTCTCTAATAATAATAATAGTCGTTTTAGTCGTTGCGTTCCGCGTCTACACAGACAGACAGATCTGTGTGCAACCCCATTGGATAGAACTGGTCTGGTCGGCTTTTCAACGGTCTGATTTAATCAGAACGAATCCGATATAGTATATTCTGTATGCTATAGCTAATTATGGCTACTTCCAGAGCGACGGACGGAGACAAAAGAAAACAGAGCGCTTAGCCGGAAAGCAGCTGAAAGGATGGTGGGAGGGCAGAGCAAAGCTGGAAATCTATTGAGCTCTCGACTGGTGAGGCATTGCTAAGGTTTCTATTAACTTATGAACTACGTCTCGTTTGAAGCCGAGCGTCCGGGCCTTTTAGTCGAGCAGAGTGTTTGTCCAGTTGTCCACAAACCTACCCAAGTTGGTCGGCTAGATAGACAATATAAAAGCTAGAATTTGTTTTGCAGAAGAACAGATGTCGACGACTCAAGCTGCTTTTGTCATTATAGCGGTGGCTATTGTAATTTTATGAAAGACAATAGACATCGATACCTCATACATCTTCTAGACATCAAATTGCTCTGCCGATGTACTTGTGCATGATTTGTGTGCTAAATTTCTCACGAATCAGTATGTGTGGGCCGAGTTACCAAAATCTTAATGCGTTGAAAAAAAATAATTTTCGAATAGTAACAAATATGAGTGAGTAATGACTATCATCATATAATAATTATGCGCCCATGTAAGGCCCGCTAACACTAGTATTACCAACACATGAGCTAACCATAACTCCGTTAGAGTCCAACATGCCGTGTGAAGTCAACTGCTCCCGTGTGAAGGCTTTGTATTGAAACATGCGTAGTAGGGTCGATGTGATTTTGAAAAAAATCAAGAACATATGCTTTTCCGCCTTACCGCTCCTGCTGTGACTTGTTTTGCATTGAACTGAGCAGATACGGAGAAATATACCGCTTACAGTCAAATGAAAATGTGGTGTCGCTACCGAAACTGACAGCCATGGCCATAAATCTAATAACATAAATAATAATAGACACAAGGTGGGAACTATAGTGAGTTATTAAAAAGGCGAAAACTAGTTTAAATTTAGTCGACTATCAGTAACTTGCAGTAGAACTTACCCAACGTGACCACTCGGACGTTGCTCGCTGACACGCGCTCGGCAAGGTCGTTCTTGAGCTTCGAGCGAACCTTTGTCCTGTTTTCCGACGATCAATTGTTTTTCGTTCTTTTTAGATACAAGAGAGATGCTGAAGCAACAAAGGGTGCTGCCGACGCAATTAGCGGTAAATATGAGCTCAGTTAAAGGTAGAGCCAGTGAATGTCCTATCGACGTTCTTATCTAGGCCATTACTAGATATCGGCAGAAGAGTGCCGCAACACATTAGCTATCTGTAACAGATGGGATCATTTTCCGACGACATGGCGATGAGTTTCGACGCGAACATTCTACTGGAGATGTGCATTAGGTTTAAAATGCTTGATTCGAGATTCATCTAGCCAGTTGCTGCAGAAGCTTTCCTTCTTTTTACACCTAAGGGTTCGCAGCGTGCGAACTAATCCGAACCTGGTGGTCTCCGTCGTTACAAAATGCTAAATATCAAACGACTTTAGTCCACTGTCCACTACTACAGTTTAAACGTTTTCAATTGATTCAATTCTAAATCAAACAATTTCTCCACCCTTTCTAAATTATACACTTTTTTAATCATCTGTCGCGCCATGGTTAGGAACTATAGCTCACGAAGTTTCTGCTTCATGTGCTATAAAGCCACGTTTTTCATGGGTAACTTCAAGTAATCGCGAATAGTTTATAATGACGTTACTTCTCTCTCTCTCTCTCTCTCTCTCTCGCTCTTTTCATTGACTCGAACGTAGTAATTTGCTTTATTATTATTGTACCTCTAACGTTTACCTATGCTCAATTTTTCCATTTCATGTCCCGACGTTCGCTCTCACCAGTGGCAAGTCCGACGTCGACTTCGATGGAAAGTCTGGGGAAGGGAAGTTTGATTGGTGGTTGTAGTGGAGGTGGAGATGGGGGGTCATCATCTATCAGTAATGGCCCAGTTGGTCTGGCTCCCGCCGATCCGGTGTCGGTTTCGCTGGCCGCGGGCAGGCTACTCGACTCTTCGCACATATCCCTTGCCCCTGCAGGCCCCGACTCGACTAATACCGGACCTCCAGGTCACGCCGCCAACTCACCGCTGTCAGCTGTGTCCGATTCATTGGCAGCACTCAAACCGCCAACGAGTGCAAAAGGAGGAAGCGTCTTGACGTCGCCGTCGTCCGGACACCTCACACACCCTCACTCACCCACGCCGAAATACTGTGAGTAACAGCAGAGAACGTCAACGTATTGTCACATAATAACAGTGCAGTAACTGAATCTGACAGGTTACTTATTAACAATGGCCTTTGTAGAGTAGCTTTTCGCATTCGAAGACATAGCTAATGAATATCTACGATGAGCATTACCTAGGCGTGAAAGATTAGTATCCGAAACAATTTTGGTTTTCCGAAAGCTTAAGGGCTTATTGAATTTCAGAAGTAAAAATAAACTAACTGCAAGAATCAAAGGTGGGACATTTCCGGACGGAAAATTATATTGCAAGAGGTTCAATCAAGCAGAGTACGGAATCGAATAGCTAGGAGTTGTGATTCCTTTACGAATCCGTACATTGCTGCATAGAAGGTCACCTGTATCGTAAATTACTACGTGATCTGTCTTTGGCCTTTTGATAATTAAATTGTCTTAAAACCACGACATGAAGTCGACCTGATATTCACTTTGTGACGTAGCTGCACATAAGAGCCCTCCACGTGCTAAATTAGCGGGAAAAAACGAGCAGACGACGTCTTCGCCGTTTACGATTAGTCTAATTCAACATGACTACAATTCTTCAATATAAATAAAACGTACATATTTGTCATTAAGGAGAGATTTGTTTGATTCGTGAACATCTCATAACAACTGCGGAGTTTGTTGTTTTACCGCCGACATGAATTGAAGTTGTTTCTGATTTAAGCCTTGCATCTGAATATCTGCACATTTTTTTGGTCGGAAAAAAGCTGATTTTTGGTTTGGACAGATAGAAACCTTCGGCGGGAAATGTTTGAATTCTGTTTTGCGCTGAACGTTGTCTGCGGCTCTTTTTCTCTCAGGCGTCTCCGCGACGGGCGTGGGCAGTGGAGGCGGCGTCGTGGGAGCCGGGGCCGGCAGTGGAGGCGTCACAAACAAAAAGCGACAACGTCGACAGCGAACCCACTTTACGTCGCAACAGTTGCAGGAGTTGGAGGCAACCTTCTCGCGGAACCGCTACCCGGACATGTCGACCCGAGAGGAGATAGCCATGTGGACCAGCCTTACCGAGGCGCGCGTCAGAGTGAGTATCGAATGATGACAGTGTGAAAAATACGTAATGACGACACCAAAAATAGCAGCTTCCTCCCGTATCGTGGCTTAGGAAGTGCGTTAATAATTCATTAGCCAAGGTTCGGCTTATCTCTGTTTTTAAAAACGGTCTTGTTTATAACCTAATCCTTTACCTACGAGAAAAGTCTATTATATCATAATTCTTATGATTAATGTTTTCAACAACAATGAGGAGTTCAAACAATTAGATTTTTTCTCTGCAATTACACAGTTGGACATGGATCTACATTTGATGCAAAATAATCCTAAAGATTATTGATCAAGGCACCTCCGTAATTGCCGGGAAGCAAATATTGTTACTTACTATAGCAGATATCGATACTATTAGTTCTCCGCTTTGTTCGATCATGGATGCGTATCAGTGCACACCTTGACGATTTGGCGTATTTCGACCTCTTTCATTACAATAACCTTTTCAATAGTAGACGAGCCCTACCTAGAGGAGCCCGCCGGTACCGGCCTCGTACGCTATAACATGACGCGAAGGTTATAAGTAACTTAATCGAGCACCGTTAACCGACCTACGGCTGTAGGCTTGGTACTACTCCGGTTCAGATGGTGCTATTCCGTGTGTAGGCACTATCGCCTGCCTTCAATCCACGGACTACTTTTCGGCTCCTGTATTCGTGGCTCCTGATTAGTCGCAGCTCGTGGCAGCTGTTTTCAATCGGCAGGGTGTGTTCTATTTGCTGGTAGTAGTTGTAGTAGAAGCATTGCTAGTTCATGTAGTCCGACACACGTAGCTTTTGCTCCCTCTTTACTTTTTTGGCTTTTATTCACTCTTACTAGCGCTTTAGCACCTCGGCGATATTGGGCATAGCCTGCACAGACAGAGGATATAATCGACATCGCCAACAACAACAACAACAACAATAACGCTAAACTATATGCTCTCGATCTCAAATCATTCGTTAACTTAAAGGAAGTCGATAATTAAGTTATACAGCCGGGGTCACGATATCTCTCTCTATCTCTCGAAAAAAATCGAACACAGTAATTGTATGAACAATGAACGGAGTCGGCTATAAAGGCGACTGAGAACGCTGTGTCTAACGTGATCTTAGAAAAAGAAAAATGTGCCAGGTTGTAGGCCATATAGACTGGTGAGCAGTAAGTTGGCAGCGGTAAAAGACGACGACAAAGAGCTTTGACCGGCGACAACGGCAAATGAGTCCGTCGTGACCCGCGCCGCCTAGCTCTAGCGGCAGCTAGCTTGTTGTATACAGACTGTGCGTTGGATCGTAGGCTTTGCGATGTTCTCATTGTTTTTTGATAGTGATGACGATGATTTTCGGAGCGACCTCCTCATTGAGCGAAGCGCACATACTCCGAATGTCTTCTAACACAGTTTCAGCGAGTGAACTTAACTGTTGTGAAGATATTGGCTATTTGCTAATAATATAGTCATTTTTCCTAGGTTTATATCTACAGGTGAGGAACAGTATGATTGTGCATATTCTTTCGGTGGTTTGACTACAACTATTACGGCATGAAAACAGTTTGTGGGATCTTTCCAAAGGTATCGTGCATACATTTTGCCATACGTCACGCTTGTGAAGGAGCGACAGTGTCCATGAAGATATGCGTGAAGTGTTCTAGAGAAGACCCAATATGCTGGCTTGTTTTTTCGAAAAGAGGCTTGAGTGTCACATTGATGGGCGACATTTTAGTGCTACGAATTTGGTATGATCCATGCCGATCTAGCACGAGTTGCTACAGTTTGCGTACATATAATCGGGTTTATAACGCTGATGGCTATTATCTAACGCCACTATTTGGCAGGCAGGAGTTAGCCTTGAAGTTTTCTGATTATTTGCAAATCGAGTCTTGCTTTACGAAGCTATACATGCTTTGTATGGAGCCAGTTCTTCCCTCCATAAGTAATATCGCTGCGTTTAATATTTGTACATGCGGCTAAGATTCATACTTTGTATCCTACGTGCTCCATCAACTTTGGCTATCACTTAAGCATAAAATGTCCATTTTCGTTTCGTTTCAATTTTGTCCAGTTAATACGAGCGTACATATTGACCGTATTTGCCTTCCAAACTGATCATGTCGGCCTTAGCTCGAATCGTTCCGTTAGAAGAAGCCTTGTTCTAACAATATAGTAGACTCAGCCTTAGGTAATTATTTTTGTGTTGCTTCTATCATTTACTCTCAACATTCTTGCCTTTGATTTCTTTGCTACACCTCAGCTTTTGCCATGTTAGTGGTTGCTGTTGCTGTTAATCGCAATAATCTTTAGTGTCAACATTGGCCACCGCTAGCCTGGTCGATCTCGCGGCGTTCACCCCCTTGTAGGGTTCAGCAGACGCGCCCGAGGTATCTTCTCTCCGTTCGGGTACTATGTGTGCACTGCGCTTATGATGCACAGCTCATGTGTAGCCATTACCGAGAGACGATATAAGCACACACACGTACACAATCATGATGTCCGCTTACTTTGCGTGCGGTAGCTCTTAAACTAACTTGTTTTCATTTTCTCGTCTTCTCGGAGTACGCAGAAGCGGCAGTAAGCGGCCGCGCATAGTATCCCCCGTACCCACAGCTTCCGAGGGGTAGCAGTGATCTTTTGTGTTGTTATTTCGTCTGTTTCCTTGCAAAGCGTTTGGGACAAGGGTAAAACCCAGACATAGGGAATCTTTGTGTGGACAACATTTGCATATCTCTTCGCTTTTACTTATACTACGATAGTTTGTAGTGGCATTACTGTGACAACGAATTGTCCAGTGACGAGTTTGCCAGTTGCCTGCACCACAACACTATGTGTCCGCATTTAGCGACAATTCTGGGTCATTCAAGCTGTGCTTATAGGCCTTTTGCTGTGCAAGTGTTCGGCCGCAAGTATACGCGATAGCGATGCTGGCTAGGGAAGCGGACTGTTCCGGATGCATCGGTTTGGTTTATTCGCGAACAAGTGAACCAATGTAAACGCATTGGGGGTGCTGCTGCTGCTGCGGTGCACATGATGTCGATTCAGGTGATCTTTTCTTGGTTGAAGCACCTGCTATCCTATTTTGTCGCAGCTACGGGGCGTGTCAAATATCTAAAGGATCTGGGGTCAAAGTTGTGTATAACTGTGGGGGCTACACACGATGCCTGCACCCGACGATAGGGTGCATATAATTAGTATTAGAGGGCTAGGACGAGCTCATTCAAACAGGTACACGCCGCCAGGCGGTCATATGTTGGCAATCTTCGCTGACGCGTACTGTGCTTCATTGCTTTTATTCGGTCCCCACTAGCCCCACCCCCTTCTCCCCCGCGCGCGTCCATCGGCTCGCGTATCTTCGGACCATGTTTGTGTGTAAAAGGAGCGTGTTGGGCGTATGCTAGTTGACGCTGTCCAACCAATTGGTTCCAACTGAGTACATCCGGATCTCCTCGCAGCCGTCGCTGCAGTACACATTAATACTGTTCCTGTCTTACTGCTAGAGGTGGTGCAACTCATCGTTTACATCTACCTATGTATACATATATGTATCGCATACGGTATAAACATCTTTTTGACGACTGGTCGTTTACCAGTTACCCGACACTGAGTCAAAGGTGAGAACTTACGGGTCTTAGAAACTTTGTGTCCTGGCCTGTGTAAAGGCCGATCAAGCGGACGGTTGCTTAACAGCTCCAAGCTACATCATACAGACTTTCAGCTTTGTCGCTCCTTTCCTTACATCCATAACTTCATGTAACTTCGGGGGGTAGACAATTGAGAGCGATTAGAAGAAAACAGCTACCTAGGCTGAGCCATGAGGCCAGCTGACTTCGGGGGAGAAACATACTTATGTACGCCCATTGAGGCTAATATGACTATTTCGATGTAGGTAATCAAACAGGCTTGTCCTACCGCATCTTGGTTCTCTGACTTGTACGAATCTCTGCGTGTAGCACATAATGCATTGTATGACTTCCCGCCACTCCGGCGAACTGTTACTACCCTATACGCTGTTCATTTTAATCGCATTAAACACCCATTTCACTTGGGTGAGCTACACAATTACTAAGTGACCTAGAAAAATGAGTGACACCGAGAAGAAAGACGGTGTTTGCTGATCTGCCCCGGAAGGAAGAACCTGTGGTAAGGCCTAGCTGCTGTGACACAATTGGGGGCGAGAACGAGGGGCGTTCAAACCATTTTCAGCAACGGCGAACGCGAGGAGTTACAATTGTGGGGGCGGATCTATATATTAAGTCTCGTGTCTCCCCTTTAGCGGGATGTGAAGTCATGATTTAGGCTTGAGGAAACCCTAGTTATAGGAGCTTGTACAGTTCAAATTGTTATGGTTCACAGGTGCCTGTGAACAGGTGCATCGCTGCTCGTCGCGACCCTAACTGTTATCAAATATGCAAATTCGGTGGGCCAACTAAGCGGTACGACGAACTATACACCTTTGTCCTAGTAAATCTTAAGCGTCTATGTGTGTCGTCTTTGTACACGCTGGCATACACATGGATATTCTTTTTATCCTTATTGTATTGTTAAGTCAAGCCATTTCTGACCGTACTTTCAAGTGCATAAAAATAGATAAAATCAAGTCGAAAAAAATGTAGAAGTAATTGAATAATATACTCAGCGGATTGTCCCACCACTCTTCTTTTCATTTTAATATGAAACATAAGTATTTTCTAGAACGTACATTTGTCTAACTTAACCAACGAGATACTTTTAAAGCATTTAGTTTTTGTTAGACAAAAAAAATTGCTTAGTGTCAGCAACAACAGCTTTTCGTTTGAGTACGGCATTCCATATGGAGAACAATTATATCGCGCTACGGTAAAATTTGGCCCGTAATTCTCATGACCTTCCACCCTGTCGTATCATTATATTTTACCCAGACCACCGATTGACTTCTAGCCCCGCAATTTCTGTCACATAAACTCATCAGTCGCTAACGAACGCCCTGAAGTCTTTCTCTATTGGGCCGGCGAGTTATAAAAGTCGATTGC